CCAAAAAAAATTGCCATATTGACAACAATGATTAATGTTGAGAGATCTTTTCAGTCAATACTGGCAATTGAAAAGAGTTGGCAGAAATAACTATACCCTTCTCTTTGAAATGATAATCAATAATAGGAACTTGTAAAACAGTGATTCTCAAGCTAGTTGTGCATCAGAATTACCTGGGGAGCTTTTAACAGCTATACATGCCTGGCTCCACCCCTAGGGATTGAGTTTCATTTGGTCAGGTTGGGCCCAGACATCAGTATTCTTTAAAAGTCCCCCAGACGATTTTAATGTACAGCCAGAGCTGAGAGCCTGTTAGAACTTACACATAAAATAGCTTTTTCAGCTCTTTGAAAAATCTTCCCCTATGAATAGAGCTGTCCTTTCTGTTGAATTGCATCACAGTCATTTATCTGGAATGCTACTTTGATTTACCTACCATAGTGGTTTCATCAGAAGTTGCTTGGTAAAGATGCACTGTCATCAGTGTTGGGTCAAGAAACTTTTTCTAAATCAGATTTGAATTAAAATTATATTTTGATACAAAAAGACCTTGTCATATTTTCCCCAGTGCCTGAAACAGTGGTATAGAGCAGGCTCTCAATACACTTTTTGCTGGAAGAGTAAATGAATTCATGGAATGTTACATTTGCCTTAACTTAGGGAGATTTGAATACAGTAGAAAAGCAATTTCTATTTAACTGTTTTTGCCATGTTTCGATTTACATGCTTATCCTTTGACCTTTTTTGGTCATATGCTAGCTTCTGTTTTAGTTGCTACGGACAAAGCAGTGAACAAAACAGACAAAAATTCCTTCTCTCATGGAACTATTCTAATAGATATGTAAAAATTTTAAAACAATATGTGTATTATTATATGGTAATATGCTCTTTCCCCTTTCTCAGTTCATTCTCTTCCTTTCTCCCCAGAAGCGGAAGAGGGGATGATACCAAGGAGGGAGATAGTTGTGATTTTAGATAGGCTGGTCAGGGAAGACCTCATGGAGAAGATGTCATTTGTAGAAAGATCTAAAAGTTGGCGAGAGAACAAGCCATGTTCCTATCTCTGAAAATATATTAGGTGCAGCAGGCCTGGCTTATTCACAAAATATTAAGGATGTTAGTGAGACTGGAGAAATGAGCAGAAGCAAGAGTAAAAAGAGATATGGTCAGAGAAGTACAGGGCGGGGAGTGGGTATGGTATAGATTATATAGGCCTCGTAGTTATGATCATTCTTTCACTTTTCCTCCAAGTGAGATGGAGAGCAGTTGGTTGATTCTGGACAGAAGAATAACATGATATGACATACATTTTTAACAGCATCATTCTGGCTGCTGATTTGAGAATTGCAATAACAATAGATGAGCAGAGGCAGAAAGTCTGTTTAGGATGCTGTCTTGGTAATCTAGGCAAGAAATGATGTGGACCAAGATGAAAGGAGTGGAGATAATAAAAAGTAATCAAATTCTTTTTTGAAGATAGTATCATTGGGATTTGGACATGGGACATGATGTCCCATGGTTGGACATGGGACATCAAGAGAGCCAAGGTTAACCACAGGATTTGTGGCCTGAGCAACTGGATTCTGGAAGGATTCCATAGCCATCCTGTAGAGGTGGATCTGTCTGCAAGAAGACTTGGTTTTGGGGGAAGAAGAGGAGCTCAATTTTATCTATGCTAAGTTTTGAGATGCCTATTAGATAATCAAGTGGAAATGTCAAGGAGATCATTACATACAGAAGTCTGGAATTCAAGGAAAAGATCCAGGCTAGAGATCATAAATTTGAGAATTGTCAGCACGTAGTTATCTAATATTTAAAGCTATGAAACTGGATAACATCACTAAGGGAATGACTATATATAGAGAGAGATGAGAGACCCAAGGGCAGACGCCATGGAGTAATCCAAAATCAGAACTTCTGAAAGAGTGCAGAGTTCCTCCTCTGTAAATTGCCTGCTTATATATTTTGACTGTTTGTTTATTGGCTGGGGATTTTTTTAAGACTTTTTTTAAGAGCAGTTTTAAGTTCATAGCAAAATTGAGAAAAGGGTACAGAGATTCCCTATAACACCCCTTGCCTCCACACATGTATAGCCTCCCACATTAGCAACACCCCCAGCCAGAGTTACGTACTTGCTTCAGTTGATGAGCTTACATTGACAACATCATTATCACCCAGAGTCCATAGTTTACATTAGAGTTCACTCTTGGTGTCAAATAATCTATGGGTTTGGATAAGTGTATAATGACATGTATCCACCATTTACTAACATAGGGTATTTTCACTGCCCTAAAATTCCTCTGTGCTTCACCTATTTGTCACTCCCCCCATGCAACCCACCCTATTCCACACACCCCTGGCAACCAGTGATCTTTCTACTGTCTCCATAGTTTTACCTTTTCCAGAATGTCATGTAGTTGGTATGTAGCTTTTTCAGACTGGCTTCTTTTCACTTTAGTAATATGCATATAAAGTACCAACACATCTTTTGGGAGTTTGATAGCACATATCTTTTTAGGGCTGAATAATACTACTAGATGTACCACAACTTATTTTTCCATTTGCCTACTGAAAGACGTTTTGGTTGCTTCCAAGTTTTGGAAGTTGTAAATAGAGCTGCTATACACATCTCTGTGCAGGTTTTTAAAGTCATAAGTTGTTGACTCCTTTGGGTAAATACCAAGGAACATGATTAGTTTTGTAAGAAAGCACCAAGCTCATCCAAAGTTCCTGTACCATTTTGCATTCCCATCAGCAATGAATGAGAGTTCCTATTGCTCCACGTCCTTATAACAGAGCCGTACATTTGACTAATTATATCATGATGTCAATGTGGATTTATCAGTGTAGCAAATGTATGACCTTGGTGAAGTGACTTTGATTCAGCATTTGGTTTTGTCAGTGTTCAGGATTTGGGCCATTGTAATTAGTGTATAGTATCTTGTTTTAAATTGCATTCCCCTTGAGATGTGATGTGTCTTTTTATGTGCTTATCTGTCATTTGTTTATCTTTGATAAGTCTGTTAAGGTATTTGGACTATTTTGTAATTGGGCTATTTATTTTCCTACTGTTAAATTTTAAGAGTTCTTTGTATATTTTGGGTAACCATCCTTTATCAGATGTTACTGGCTGTTTTTTTTTTTCCTTACTGATTTATATCACTTTTTTATTTGGAGTAATTTTTCCAAATGCTTTATGAGAAACTAAATTACTACAGTGTATATTGTTGTCATCAATTGCTGAGTGATAGAGTTAGAAACTGATTTTAAAAACTTTTTTTTGATAAAGATCTAGTCTTCGGGTGTGGAGTTTGGTGAGCTCTTTATAGATTTTGGATACTAGCCCTTTGTCCGATACGTCATTTGCAAATATCTTTTCCCATTCCGTTGGTTGCCTTTTAGTTTTGTTGGTTGTTTCCTTTGCTGTGCAGAAGATTTTTATCTTCATAGGGTCCCAGTAGTTCATTTTTGCTTTTAATTCCCTTGCCTTTGGGGATGTGTCAAGTAAGAAATTGCTAACCCAGTGAAGAAATGGGCAGAAAACATGAATAGACACTTCTCTAAAGAAGACATCCGGATGGCCAACAGGCACATGAAAAGATGCTCAACGTCGCTCCTCATCAGGGAAATACAAATCAAAACCACACTCAGATATCACCTCACGCCAGTCAGAGTCGCCAAAATGAACAAATCAGGAGACTATAGATGCTGGCGAGGATGTGGAGAAACGGGAACCCTCTTGCACTGTTGGTGGGAATGCAAATTGGTGCAGCCACTCTGGAAAATTCCTCAGAAAATTAAAAATAGACCTACCCTATGACCCAGCAATAGCACTGCTAGGAATTTACCCAAGGGATACAGGAGTACTGATGCATAGGGGCACTTGTACCCCAATGTTTATAGCAGCACTCTCAACAATAGCCAAATTATGGAAAGAGCCAAAATGTCCATCAACTGATGAATGGATAAAGAAATTGTGGTTTATATACACAATGGAGTACTACGTGGCAATGAGAAAGAATGAAATATGGCCCTTTGTAGCAACATGGATGGAACTGGAGAGTGTTATGCTAAGTGAAATAAGCCATACAGAGAAAGACAGATACCATATGGTTTCACTCTTACATGGATCCTGAGAAACTTAACAGAAACCCATGGGGGAGGGGAATGAAAAAAAAAAAAAAAAAA